CACACACACACACACACACACACACACACACAAACACACACACACACACACACACACACACACACTCATACATAAACACAACAGACACAAAAGCGGTCCCTGTCTGCCAACACAATACATCAAAGACATACAAAAAAGACGTTTATAGATTTTCATATTTTGAAGTTTAAAATAAAAAAAGCCCAAACAAAACTCAAACGAAACAAAACGGAGCAACAGGGCGAAATAAACGCTATCTCGCGAAAGTATATCCCCTTTAAAACAGAACAAAAAGAAAAACAAAGAAAACAAAACGAAACAAAACGAAACGAAATGAAACAAAAACGAAACGAAACGAAACGAAACGAAACAAAAACAAAACAACCCCCTCCCCAAAATAGAAAATACGTAAATCACAAAAAGCAGACGACAACAGCTGTAAGCTTTCTTCACAATCCAGACACCGTGACAGAAAACCGCAGACGCCCCATATACCGTAGATCAGAAATCTACAATTTATATATTTGGCAACTTGGCAACACATGACGTGTCACTTTTCCCATATATTTAACTACGACAGCAACAGAGTTGAAAGTTGGCAAGTACCTGCAAAAAGATAGATAGGTCCCCACGACAGAGCCCGATTTTTTATTTATTCATTTCCTGAATTTAGAAAAATATATCTGACAAAAAGTTCCCGTCCTTCTTTGGCCTTTGTGATTATTCCACTGAGAAACGAAACAAATCTGCGTAGCTGTCCTCCACAGCGGAATAGATCTAATAATATATGTACGCTATATGTAAAATTTAACCATAGATGTATATTATGTATATATGTATGTGTATAAAGTGAAGATCACCATGACAAGCAGACCAGACCTAACAAACAAACAAACAAACAAACAGACGTACACACAGGCAAACAAAAACGCAAGGAAAAAAAGCAAGATACGACCTTCAGACATAAGAAGAACAGTGACATTGAGAAAACAAGGTACAGGAAATGAAACAAACAATCAAATAGACAAACACGCAGCTAAACAAACAAAGAAACAGCCAAAGGAAAGGGCGAACAATGAAAGTAATGGTACTCTTGTAGACCCGACCACCTCACCAAAAGAATGTGAACAAAACAGACAGACCCTAAAACAAAAAAAAACAAAACCCAAAAACTGAATTATAACCAAACAAATAGGCAAAACTATAAACACACAGCAAACATACAAACATCAAACAAAGAGACAGCAGGAAAAAAAACCAAGAGAAAATTTTAAAAACAGCAATCATACAACACATCATACAAACAAACAGCAAACAAAGAAACAAACATACAGACAGTGAACATACAAGCAGCAAACAAACAGAGTAAACATACAAACAAACAAACAAACACACAAGTAGCAAATAAACAAACAGCAATCATTCAAACAGCAAACAAACCAAAAAAAACAACAACCCAGCAATCTTACAAACATCATATTAACAAACAGCAAACCAAAAAAAATTTCCCAGCAAACAAACAGACAAACAAACAGCAGACAGACAGACAGACAAACAAATGAGCAGCAAACAAACAGACGAACGAAAAAGAAACCCAGCACACAGACAGATAAACAAACAGCAAACAAACAGACAAACGAACGATCAGCAAACACACAAAGCGATGGAGTATAGAAAGAACACCAGCACCACAGCAGCGGTCAAGAGGCCGAGAGGGAAACAAGAGCAGAGCATCGCCATGATGAAAGCAGGACGCGCCCCGGACGCGTCCGTTGCCAGGGGTTACCGGTTGCCAGGGGTTACCGGTTGCCAAGGTTACCGGTTGCCAAGGGTTACCGGTTGCCAAGGGTTACCGGTTGCCAGGGGTTACCGGTTGCCAAGGTTACCGGTTGCCAAGGCTGCCGGTTGCTAGGGGATACAGAAGTGCTTCTAGGGACACCCTTCCCAGCATGCAAAGTGTGTAATCTGTTACCTCTTCCTCTTCGTGAGTTTCTGCCTGTTTTGATTCTTCTTCTTCTTCTTCTTCTTTTTCTTTTTCTTCTTCTTCTTTCTCTTCTTCTTCTCCTTTCTTTTCTTCTTCTCCTTCAGGCTGAAATACGCGTGAGACTCATTGAAGAAAGGGAGAAGCTAACTATTGCTTAGAAGGGATAGGGGGCTCGATTTTCATCTTTTGTAAAAGTTTTAAAATATAATCGATAGTTGTTTGTGGAAAATAAGATTGGGAGGGGGGTCTGGAGAGATGGATATATAGATAGAAGGAAGGGAAAAGAGAGGGGGGGAGAGAGGGAGAGAGAGAGGGAAAGAGAGAGAGAGAGAGAGAGAGAGAGAGAAGAG